GTTACAGATGATAATGAGGAATTAGCTGCCGCTAACAGTTGAGAACAGATGGATAAATTTAGTTGTGTGACTTTGGGCAGTCCGACTCACTGTACTGCTTTAAACTGTGGACAGCAGCCAACAGGCATATCCAACAGTCACCATATTAGAGGAATAAATCACTGTGACAGACACTGACTTCCTCTAACACTTAAGGGAAATCATGTAGTTGCTCTCATTACATCATAAGAATTCACAGCTGTCAATTCTAACAAATTATCCAAAGTAACAGCTGTCTTTGAAATCTAGAAACCCAGATTCTTCTAATTGTGTTAGAACAATTAACAGTTGACTTCTGCATGAAAATAATACAGAAAACTGACCCTGAGGGCAATAAATATGTTATGTCTGAGTATCTGATTTCCTCACACCACCATAGAGTTTCACGTTCTCTTGTGGCTGATCAGGAGCTGGTATGCCTGACATGGATCCAGGCAGAGAGTACTTCTGGTGCTTTTGGCATGCTCCTCTGGGTATACTAAGGGACATTGGCTATTTGAGCCAAATGCCATCAATTCTGACAGAGAGAGAGAGATGAGAAGAGGACATACAATCCTAGAGGGAAGGATGGTGGTTGATGTAAGAGCTCTCGTCTATGCATGAGTAGATATGTAATGAGAAGAGCATGATGTTGATATAATGATGGTGCTACTATTTAACTTCAAATGCTGCGATGCAGTTTGTGCATACAGAATGTTATTTGAGCTTTGCCACTACGTCATTAGTCTGCCGAAGTCATGACTTGTTGCACAGTAACAATGATATACAAATATTACATGTTTAATACACTTTGGTAACCAGATTTACAGTATTTTAGAGTACATTTGGTTTTTGCAGTACTAATGCAATGTTTTGATTTCGACCTTATCCCAACAACACAATTATATAAATGAATTGTTAAATGAATTATCTGCCTGAAAACACATTTAAAAAGAAAGATAGTGAATTTTCGCAGACTTCGGATCCAACCAGCTAGGGCGGTAAACCTTCCATGTACTGCTTTCAAAAACAAAGTCTAAAAAGCACAAAGACAAAACTGTGAAACAGAGGAAAATATAACACGAAAAATCATCCAAATGGATTAAAATTGTATCTTTAGTCTTTTGCTTCCTTAAGCAACAGCCCTTAGCAGTACAGACAGTATATAGTTGTTGTCTAAAGACTAATGTCACCAGTGGTGACAGAGATGGCAAAGGTCCTTCCTTCCTGCTGCTGTCAGACTACACAACCAGCAGTGCTCCCAGTAGTCTGCACGTTGAAAAACTGACATACTTCATTTTTGTGCTGTATCAACAAATTCAAACCTTTGCATTATTAATATTTTTCACATTGTATACCTCTGTGGAATATCAATATTTTTACATGTTGTTGCAAGAAAAAGTAAATTTTTCCTCAAACACATACACATTTTTTATTAATATTGAAACAGTAAGTTCAACCAGATGTATGAACAAGTTTGTAAAGAAGAAAAGACACAACAGTGATTGCATAAAAGTGACTTAGGCAGAATATGCCATGATATAGGCTTTTTTTTCATACGAACATAATATAACCAAAGTTATTTTACTTTCCTAAACATACCCAAGTTGTGTTACTTGTCTAACCATAACCAGGTTGTTTTACTTGTCTAACCTTAATCAAAGTCCCACTCAGGTGCTGTGTGAACTGGTTTTCACACTATCTATTGATGGGGGAGGTTGTCATAGTACTGGTGAGCCACTCTTGGTAGTACTGGTTTCATTACCAGCAGGTCATTGAATTTACTGACAGTAATTGGTAACTGAGCAGGGAAGAGTCAGTCCCAGTGGAACGGTCCTTTGGGGATGTGGACTCGCTAAGGCAGGTCTTCCCAGTGAAACTCAAAATCCAACTTGTACCGGATTTGACCATCTGCCGAGTACTGGAGATCACGAAGGTCATGTACTGTGGGGTTACCAACTTCTCTAGCTGGTCGAATGTTGGTGATATAGGGCCCAGATAACTTCATGAAGTGATTGTGGTATACCTGGGTGACCTTGTATGAGGATGGATGCAAATGTACAGTCTCAAAGATGACAATGTAATCATGTGGAGTGTGAATAGCTCTGATGGTATGCCGCTCAATAATGCTATGCATGGAGTCACACTCTATTTGTGTGTGGCCTGCAACAGGAAACTTTTGTTCTATGGTGACACCATGGTTCATGGCCAGCTCTAGATGGACCTTTGTGATGGTACTACACGGATTTTGATAGCCACAGCCATCATCCAGACTATGACTTTTCAATATTTCGGTTGGCCCATAGGACCGACTCCTTCATCTTGCCTGTACTACTGTGTATGTAAACAACAGCAAAATGACAATTAACTTGATTTAATTTGATTTGAAATTTTCTATGGGATTAACATCAGGGCTTTGTGATGGTCACTCCAAAACATTGACTTTGTTGTCCTTAAGCCACTTCGTAACTAATCTGGTGGTATGCTTTGGTCATTGTTCATTTGGAAGACCCATTTGCACCCAAGCTTTAACTTCCTGGCTGATGTCTTGAGATGTTGCTTCAATATTTCCACATAATGTTTTTTCCTGATGATGCAATCTAATTTGTGAAGTACATCAGTCCCTCCTGCAGCAGAACACTCCCACAACATGATGCTGACACCCCCATACTTCACAGTTGGGATGGTGTTCTCAGGCATGCAAGCTTCCCCCTTTTTCTTCGAAATGTAATGATGGTCATAATGGTCATAATCCAAACGATTTAATGCTAGTTTCATCAGACCACAGGACATGTCTCCGGAAATTAAGGTCTTTTTGCCTGTGTGCATTTGCAAATTGTAATCTGTTTTTTTTTGGGGTTTTTTTTTAATGTTGCTCTGAGTAGCCTTTCAGTCCATGTCGGTACCGAAATTGTTTCACTGTGGATAATGACACTTACCAGCTTCAGCAGCATCTTCACAAGGTCTTTTGCTTTTGTTCTGGGGTTGATACGCACATTTCACTCCAAAACACTTCATCTCTGGGACACAGAACCCATCTCCTTCCAGAGCACAATGGTGACTGGACATTCCCATGGTGTTTGTACTTGGTTAGGGTTAGGGTTAGCGTTAACCTGCACCTGTTCCTGTTCCCAGGCGGGTCGACACCGCCCCAGATCCTGTTTCTGTTCCTGAGCAGATCGACACCACCTCTGTTCCTGTTCCTGAGTAGGCCAACGCTGCCTCAGTTCCTGTTCCCGAGTGGGTCGATACTGCCCCTGATTCTGTCTCTGTTCCTGTTTCCAGGCGAGTCGACCCCGCCTCTGTTCCCAGGCAGGTCGGCACTGCTCCTAATCCTGTTCCTGTTCCCAAGTGGGTCGGCGCCGCCTCCGGATCTGTTCCCGAGAGGGTTGATGCCGCCTCTGCTCCTGTTTCTGTTCCCGAGCGGGTCAATGCCGCTTCTGGTCCTGTTCCTGAGCGGGTTGACACGGGCAGGTCGCCATATCCAGTGCTAGTCAGGGCAAAGTCGGCTGACCACCCCCCTGAGTGGAGACGGTCTCACAGTAAGCTCACTGTTCCCCTGGTGGAGGGGCTGCTCCTGAGCCTCGTTCCACATCAGCCCCTCTGGCTCCTAAGCAGCCTCGCCGCCATCATTGGATCCTGGTCCAGCCTCCTGAGGGATCCCACCTCCTTCATTAGCCTTCCGATGTGTGCCGCCGGCCTCCAGCCTGACCACCCAAGGGCCCCTGTCTCGCCTACAGATGGGTTCTGTCACCGGCCTCCAGCCCGACCGTCTGAGGATCTCCATAAAAGCCAGTTCCACATTCCACTCCCTGCCAGATCGTAGCGTCAGCTTCAGCTGTTGTATGCCGCTGGCCGCCTTGCCCCAGTTCTGCTTGGGTCCTGCTATCCCTGGTCCCAGTTCTGTTTCAGTCCTGCTATCCCTTGCCTCGGTTCTGCTTGGGTCCTGCCATCCCTTGCCTTGGTTCTGCTTCAGTCCTGCTCGCAGTGGTCCTGGCGCCTGCCCAGCCTCAGATTCCCCAGAGCTCCATCCTGAAGGGCATCAGCTCCCCCTTAGCCCACTTTTCGGACTGCCACTGCCGCTTTCCACCGCCCACCCACTCCATCGGCGTGTGCTTCTCGGACTGCCGGTCCCTGGGAGCCTGTCCGCCCCCTGCCCAGCCGTTAGTGAGTTTCAGTTAGTTTTGTCCCTAGTCCCCACCTCAGTTATTCCTGGCTTTCAGTTCATTTGTGTTTTTTAAAAAAATAAAATCTGTGTTAAAACCTTGACCAGTCTCTGTGTGCTCTCTGCATGGGCTCCCCTTGATCCGTGACAATCCAGTTCTCAGATTCTCAGACATTGGTTACCAGGTCCTCACAAGATCAGATTTTAAATTCTTTGACCCATCTATAAATCAATGAGTGGTTTAGGGTCAAGCGACTTAGATCTCCTGACCCAGTGCAAACCTTGCAGACCTCTCAGAGTAGCTGGATTGCTGATTGTTTCAAGAACTGAATGAAACATGGGGAAAGTGCCTTTGGTTTCTATGCTGCTCGAATGTAGAACAAACTGCAAGAAGAATTAAGACTTGACATACAATAGACTACTTTCAAATTCAAGCTAAGTAAGTTACTCTTTAGGATAGCTTTTAATAAATCTTCTTTTAAATCAAATTTGTTTTTTCTGTATGTTTTATTGCTTTTGTTAATTCTACACTGTGTGTTTTTTTTTTTGCTTGCTTGCTTTTATTCTACTTACCATTTGTTTCTTGGTTTCCTTTGGCCTGTGTACTTTGCACACCCTTTAGATATAAAATGTGCTATAAAGGTAATTCATTTTGCCTTGCTTTTAGTGCTAATGTGGCAGTGTACTATTGTTGGGCAAACATCTTTCAGTGTTATCCAGGGATAACTTTTGACCATTTTTCTCCAATCCAGTTCGGTCTGTGTTTACTGGAGGGATGTAAGTGATCAGTGGAGATCATAAAAAAGCTTCAGTACACTTACTTGATGGTATGAAGATTTCTGGTGGTATACTGAGGAATGAGTTGGTAGATGACATCCAGACCATGGTTTTCTCCTATTAGGTTTGCTGCAGAAACTGTAAGGAAAACACAACAGGCTGTAGCACCATTGTTGAGGCATTTGATAAATTAGTTCAAGCACCAATGTTCTGCACTGGACACTATGGGTGTACTCAGCAATTTCCCTGAGGTTTGCACCAAAGGGATCAATAAAGTTCTATTCTATTCTATTCTATTCTATTCTATTCTATTCTACAGTCTGAAAACACAAACTTTATCTACACATATATAAAGTACACAGACTACTCCACCCTAAGCTGCAGTTAGAATTTCCCTGGATAATAGGAACTTCATTAATTATTTTCTCTGGCTGCCAGTTTATTCTGTAGAATACTAAGGAGTTATATGGCCTGGTTTAAGACTACATCAGGGACCATCTTATTCCTCATCTCAAGAGAGTTTTTTCAGTCACTGTGCACAACAACAAATATATACTGACACAGATTTCTCTGTATCATAGAAACAACCACAGTAGGAAATGTTTCAGACACAAAGTTAATTCAAATTGCTTCACACAGGAGCAGAATAGTAATTAAATAGAACTAAATATACCAAACAGGCACAACATTAAAACCATCTACCTCATAATATGTTGTTCCGGTCATGCTACTAAAGTAGCTCTGACCTGTTGAAACCTGGACTCCACACACTTTTGAAGGTGTCCTGTTGTATCAGGCACTAAGATGTTATCAGCAGATCCTTTTGGTCCAATAAGTTACAAGGTGGGCCCTCCATGGATCAGTTATGTGTTTCCAGAATACCCAATAGATGCTTGATTGAAAGTAAATTGAAGGAATTGGGTGGCCAAATCATCAGCTTGAAATCTTTGTCATGTTTCCAAGCAAGTAATTATTACAGTGTTGATTAACTTGCTAAAAGAGACCATTGTCATCAGGGAAACACTGTTATCAGTAAGGGGTGTACGTTATGGTTAGGTTTGGGGTGAGGAACTTAGTTGTAATGGTTAATTAGTTGTGATGAAAATGAATGTCAGTTAAGGCAATGTCCCATGAAGTGATGGAAACACAACTGCGGGTGTGTACCTGATGAAGAGAAGACCTGGATGACCCAGAGACAAGCTGCGACCCTCCTGGCATGATTGATGTTTTGTCTGAGCAGATTTAGAGTCAGCAGCACAGCTCCAGCATCCTCTGCCTTCATACCAATACGACGGTCTGCGAACATATTGTTACATATTAAACTGTACATATATAGACAGAATAAGGCCAAGATGAACAGCATACACTCAAAGGGGAGAATGTGTTTTAGAAGCTCATGGTTCTGGGGTTGATACACACATTTCGCACCAAAACACTTCATCTCTAGGACACAGAACCAGTCTGCTTCCTGAGCGCTATGATGGCTGGACATTCCCATGGTGCTTCTACTTGTATATAATTGTTTGAACAGATGAATGTGGAACCTTCAGGCATCTGGAAATTGTACCCAAGGATGAACCAGACTTGTGGAGGTCCACAATTGTCTCCCTGATATCTTGGCTGATTTCTTTAGATTTTCCAATGTTGTTAAAAAAGGAAGCAGCGTGTTTGAGGTGTGTCTTAAAATACATCCACAGGTGTGCCTTCAGTTAACTTAAATGTTGTCAATTAACCTATGAAAAATTTCCAAAGCCATGACATCATCATCTGGGCTTTCCCAAATACTTTGAAAGCATAGTAATGTTTGTGTATGTAAACTTCTGACTTTGAAGAAAGAAATAAAAAGTTCTTTAAAAAATTCTCTCTCTCATTATTCTGGCATTTAGCAAATAGAAATGATTTCCGTAATCCAAACTGATCGAAAACAGGAAAAGTTTAGTCTGATTTAATGTCAGACAGCAAGAAAACAAAGGTTATATGTCTTTTTATACAGTGTATGTAAACTTCTGGTTTCGACTTCTTTATCTGATTGATCCGCAGAGAATACAGCTTCCTGAAAACAGGCTCCAAAGCTTTGGAAATTTTTTTTTTTACTTCCGTGCTGTTCTTGGTATTGATTGCTTTTACAGCAATAGAGATACTGAACAACAAATGCTGAATAATCAATTTATGCAAAGGTAATCAGCAGCTATTGCCAATATTAACTAACTACTTTTGCTTTTGAGGGAATTACAATATCACCATAGTCTTTCTAAAGTATTTGTTTTTAAATGTTCATCAGGGGAAATACTCTGCTGTTAAACATGGAAATAATATAATTTTTGAGAGGTGATACAATTTTGAATTGTTTTACAACATTACACAGGTTGCACTCACTTGTGTTGTATACTGTATTTGCAACAATAAATGAATAAACCAATAAAATATTCCACAAATCAGTTATTAACGAATAAATAATTGTTAGTTGCTGCTGTAATGCAATGCAATATAATATATATGATGAACCACAGTATCTGCAATGTTAGCCAACTTTCTGTTATGGACAGATCCACTTGGTTTTCTAGCTAACATTCCCAGTGGACACATATATCACTAATTTGTGGAGTCACTTTGATTGCATGCTGTTATTAAAGCTACAGGACCAAAGGCTAAGACTTTATGAAATTCCTGACTCAGCATTTTCCTAAAAACTGTTATTGCCTCTTGAAATCAATCTGTTTGCATTACGTTTGAAACAAATGTAATATAGAAGTAAAACAGGAGTATCTCATGGTCTCGGATTTTTGGACACCTGATGGCTATGTTGTCTCTTTAGAATTTGTCTATTCTTGATTCACCACATAACTCCCATGTACCTGATGTTTGGGTAAACTGTCCAAAAGAGAAATGTTTTGCTGTTGTTGTTTTATACATCACAGTTGTATTTGTCTTTTCTTCCCTCCTCACCTCTGTGTCCAACTTTGGCCAGCAGGTGCAGCAGTGGCAGCAGGATGTTGTAGTCAGGACTGAAAGTGCGGGCATGGTTGACCAGTGCAGTCAGCAAGGCCTCACTACCACCTTTACTTATCATGTAGTGGATACGACGATCCGTACCTGAGCAGAAAGAAGCAGAAGTAGAAGGGAGTGCTTGACTAAATAGAGGTGTATGAATTAACTTGTTCACTAAAGTTCGGTGGCACGGCTAAGCAAGCCTTCCTCCTATTATTAATCCAATTCAGCACTGTTTGTTTGTTGAACTCCACCCTCCCTCTCTTCCCCTCTCATCCATTCACTGTCACCCATTCCTCCTCACATCCATACATCCCCTTCTTCCCTCCTTTCCTTATTGACTCTTTCTAGACACCACCTGAGTTCCATAATTGATTCAAGCAAAATGATGAAACCCCCACAATGAGTTCTTCTTCTCCTCAGCCACCAACATTTTCATCTCTACTGTCCATTACATGCTCTTTTAAACTCTCATTGTTGTAGTGGGGTCCTTGCTTGTTAAATTTAATGAGTGTTCAGACAACCAGAGTGAATCTAGACATAGATTGTTCAACACAAATAATATGTTAATTTACACTGAAGCAGCGTCGGACAAAGGAGCAAAATTATTAAATGGATTTTTAGTATCATTAAAATAGCAAACCTATTTGAGTGCAGTTCCACCCACATCAAGCGTTACATTAACTGTTATATCTATTGGAGTACACACTGCTCTCCGGATATGTATGTCAAATTCTGACCATTGAGATGATCCCTCCAGTTCTTTCGGTGCTAACAACAGTTGCATAATATTATGATATCAAATTAATTTAAGTGGTCAAATGTTGATCTTGTCCGAGCTTACCAGCTGACAGAAGTTCATCCAAGACATTGAGGATGTTTAAGGTGCTCGCCACATCCCCTGGATTCTGCAAAGACCCCCAGAAAGAAAGAAAATATACAATAAAATTAAACAATGCTTAACCTCAGTCAGAGGGTGATTTTCTCTTTGGCTATATAATCCACACAATATAATGAAATGCTACTACTTTTTTTTATTTGTAGTTTTGGTACATACTCGCAAAAAAAAATGGGGCTAAGCTTGCACCCAGTGACCCTCAGGCCTGTGTTATAGTTTATTTCAACACTGCACCCAGTGTGACAGATAAAATAAACAGCTGTTCAACTATTCTCCACTACAAATATATGTGAAGGAACCTGTAGCTATATCGCTTTACATACGCCTCTCTGATGTCTCGTGTACTCTACATGCTGATGGACTGCCAATCTTCTCAGACGAGTTTCTTATCCCAAATGTACAAAATGCTTTTGAGGTGACTGAAGGTCCGTCGGTGCAGTCAACAACAGTATCTGGCTGATTAAATTCTGCAGTTCCAACAGAAATCTTTTGGGTTGGCCAAACCTCTCCCTCATTAAAACGTGTGTTGTATGAAGAGACCTGCTCCAATGGCCAACTATCTGCCTGATATAAATAGCTCAATGTGGTGCATGCAGACAGCCTGTTTAGGTGGCCAACGATCTGCCTGTTTAAATAGAGACAAACAGTGCAGACTTGCGTTGAGCTAATGTAATTAGAGACGGTTGCTAAACACAGAGGTAACAACATCTCTGATTATGGGACGAGTTATGTCAAAAGTGCTTATTAACCAACTCTAGCATCTTACCAGTTACTGCAGCAGCCAATTAAATATAGGGCAGTTTTGCTTGGGTCAGCATATTTCTGATATGCTGACATGTCACTTCAGCAAATAATTATGGTTTGAATGTGAGTATTAGAATAATGTAGGCTTGAAATGTGAACGACTGGTTTTTACTCTGGACCTAACAAATCCTTGGAGACAAGCTCAATCAGGATCTAGTCACACTGTGTACTTTTCTTCATACCAAACAAGTGAGCTGGCTAGCACATTATTTCACATTTTGTTCGCTGTTGCATGTACAATAAGTATTCTCTGTTGCTGTCGTATGTCTGAATAAAGCTATGAAGAACATGAATGTAAAAGTTAAAAATATGTCTGGATGACAGAATCCCATCACTTTAACAGATTGATGAAGCCAGCAAAGTTTCAACTACATGCTCACTAAAACTACATTCCAGAATGAGGATTGCTTCCAGCATCATTGTTGTACAACAACAGTCATGGGGCCCATGTGTCAGGATTCATGTCTCACCATGCTGGCAAGGCTGACCAACAGTGTGGTCCTGTATCTGTACTTTAAGAAATTCCCCATTCTGTTAACGGAGCGAACTGTGTGTTCTCAGTAAAATACGTTTTACAGATTTTAGACTTGCACATTTTGCAAGTCACACATTTTTTATTTTTGAAGTTTAGAACAAGGTTGGGCGACAAGGTGGAGCAGTGGTTAGCACCGTTGCCTCGCAGCAAGAAGGTCGCCGGTTTCGCATTTAAGTGGGGACACCGGGACCTATCTGCGTGGGATGTTCTCCCCGTGTAGCGTGGGTTCTCTCTGGTTCTCTGGCTTCCTCCCACACAGTCCAAAATCATGTTGAGGTTAATTGATGATTCTAAAATTGTCCTTAGGTATGAATGTGAGTGTGCTTGGTTGTCTGTCTCTAAGTGTAGTCCTGTGTCCCCTGTCTTTGGCCTAAGTCAGCTGGGATAGACTCCAGCCCCCCGCGACCCTCGTGAGGATTAAGCGGTGTATAGAAAATAGATGGATGGATGGATTATGTAGTAAATGTTGATAGCACAATGTAAATGCTGCATGATAATGACATCATTGTCATTTAGTTTCCTTATGAGCTAGCTATCTTTGCAATTTGATATGCCACTGAGTCTGAAATCTAACGGGAAAATAAAGGCTCAAATTATTGCTAAAAGATCAAAAAATACAGCTGAAATATCTAGTTTTCTCCCAAACTTGCTCTGGTCATTCAAAATAGAAGCTAACTGTGGTCCACAGTGAGAGCTTCTAGCACATAAGAGCAGAGGATCAGTGTCATCCCTTTTATCAGAAAGAAAAGCCTGATTACTAGCTGTCTGTCATATCAAGGAGCAGTGATAGTAAGTCATTAGATAAGAAGTCCACATTGCTACTACCAGTAAATTGTGGAAATGAGCTTGACTTAATGAAGCGTGACATGTCTGATTGCATATATAAACCTGACAGATGCAAAACTTCACCGACTCCTTCTCTGTTAAAAAATAACATCAATGATTGTAGTCAGATGTTTATATCCTGCAAAATTAAAAAACGGAAAAAATGTCCTGCTGAGAAAACCATAATTCCTTTACCGTTATTATTTTTGCATCATTTTACAAAAGTGCAATGTAGGTTGTACTTTAGAGAAAATATCTGTCATATCTATCTATAGTGAAGACTGTTCAAGTGTTCCAACTGCATAAAAATGGTCACAATTGTAACTTATCAACTCCCCCAAGTTGTTCTGTCTGTCCTGAGTCCCTAGATTACCAGTAATTTCACAACTAAGTGGCTTCCTGGATAATAAAGTGCACCAGCCACAGTAATAAGGCTTTATACCTGCCCAGAACACAGCAACTGTTGCAACTGTTGTTGTGGATGACATTCTAAAATTAATTAATTAAAAGGAACACTGTACTGCATGTTCTGAATATATGTCCAAAGCTTTGCATCCTGTTGATCACAGCATTTCATTAGATGCTTTCTGTTGGTTCTGCTTACAACATAGAGTTCATTATGACGTTTCAACAGTTGTTGCTGATGGTTTCCAATGAAGTCATGTCGGTTGTATTTAAGTATTTGTCAGTTTTTAAGCTGAGGTTGAACTTGATGTATTGGTCACTGCAACGTTTGACTCAACTCAACATGGCAACACAACCTTTTATACTAAAAAAATAAAATCAACGCCACTATGACAGCAACAGAAGACAAAAGTATAGCATCCAAACACACATTGCTTGTTGATGGCCAGAGCAAGATGGTGTTGCAGTCTGTAAGCAAAGAAACGGATGCTGTGGAAGAGGGAGACGGCAGAATGTCCAATATTTGTCTAGTTGAAGATCAGGGAAGGCTACAGGGGGGATAATTAGAGGTGGTGCATGACAGCAAAAAAAGAAAAAGAAAAAAGAATGTGGAGCCTGTGTCTGATGACACACTGCACCTGCAAAACTGCATTGTTTTTGTCACTGTTTTTATCATGTAAAATCAAAAATTAAGAAAGTTTTGGGGTTTTATCAGTAAAGAGAAGTTCGGCTTATCAGATGTGATGGTCAGATGTGTTTGAGAACAATAGCTCAGTATAAAATAATTCTAATGGAAGCTATACACCACAAAATCCAGCTTTCCAAAACTACTACATTACAAAAAAGGTAGAGTTTTATATACTATCAAAACAAGTAGCTGTGCATAAACAACGGAAGACAGAAAACACAGGTTCCGAACAATAACTGGTACAGCACATGCTGGCAGCACAAGTATGCGTTTAGATGTATCCTACTATGTTGGTTCAATATCTGTTAGCTAGTCAATATGCCATTCTACAGAGTGAGGGAAATAAGCACAACTTAGCTCACCTCTTTTTCTATATTAGTCTCTGTCTCTCCATGTTTGAAAAAATTACAAAGCCTCTTCATCTCTGGTACAACTGGCACCAGTTAGTTTCCCTCACAAAACAATTTTCTGCAGAGCATTTAATCTTTTACATTTGTTGCATCAATCTTTGGGAACTCTTCTGTTTCTGCTTTTATGGATTGATGGATGGATTTGCTCATAGACCTTCAGTTTGTCCATTTTGCACATGACAGCTGTGCCGAATGTGCCAAGTAACAAAACCTGGTAGGTGCACAAGCAGTCAGAATGGCATCAAAGTGCATCACGAGCAGCATGACATTTGCTTTATGCTGATAATACAATCCTGTATGCCACTGGCCCCACTAAAAACCAGGTATCATTGATCTGCAGAAATCACAGTTACATTTGTACCATAATCAAAATGTTGAAAAGATCAAATATATGTGTTTCACAAGTTCACCTGCCAGTTGCATCAACAGTCAATAACGTCTTGCTATCAAAGCAAGCAAGCAAACATCATAAGTTGGTTTTGAAGCACCATGGTACCAGGTCACAGGAGAGACTGGCTTTGAATCACATACCTGCTATGAAATGGAACAAACTGGTTTCCATTACTGTGGGCCTCTCTACTGGTATGAGCCACATTGCCATCCACTGAAGACAACATAGTAGGATACAGCTAAATGCATACCAGTTATTGTTTTCTGTCTCCCGTCGTGTATGTGTGTGTGTGTGTGTGTGTGTGTGTGTGCGCGTGTGTGTGTGTGTGTGTGTTTACAGATACAGTTGCATGCTTATCAATGTAACACAATATTGCAGGATACATTGATGTGTTTTAAACCATGTAGCGTTTCCATCCATGAGCTATGCGTCTGTAGATAGAGTATCAAAGAGCTATACACTTTCTCTCACATACTCAAAGACAGCAAGATCAGAGCCAGTAAGCTCATACAGAGTAAACATGTTGTACCCCAGCACTGGAACACATGTTCTTTCACTATAGAAACAAAAGTCAAAGTTTTATACCTTTATCATCTATTAAAAATATGGTGAAGGCACTATTTACCGAGTCCTGTACCTGCTTTTAGTGTATTTTATCTTCAAGCCTTATATTGTTATGTTTTGTTTGTGTATTGTTTTTTTTTTTTTTTATGGATGTATTCCTTTTATTGTACTCTCCGTTCTGTGCTGCCTCTTGGCCAGGTCCGTTATTATAAATGAGAATTTGTTCTCAATTAACCCACCTGGTTAAATAAAAGAAAAATAAAATACATTTAAAAAATGGTAACATGTGAACACATGTATTTTTATATCATCCCACTGCGCAAAGACACGTCCCAGTGACGTCTTTTCTTAGTTATTTTTGGACGTCCAGTTTTGGTCACATGCAGGTGCAGACTGTAACGCCAGAAGACGTCTTTTTCCCGATGTCTACCGAACGTCTAGTATTGACGTCGACAGGACCTCTATGTAAAGGCTAGTTGTAGACGTCTAGACGTTTTTTCCACGTCAAATTAAATCTCATCCATGATGAGATGATTATTATAATCTAATTTCAAATGTGCTATGGTTAAATGGGTGAAGGTTTGCTTTATTTTACCAATATTTGACAGTGCCCCAGTTTTCAACTATACCCACATGATAGCTAAGATCCAGAGCTGTGTTAAAGTTAAGAAAAAGTTGTGTCTGGTTTAAGGCAACGACTTACCACCTTTATTCAAGTGAGCTGAACTTAGTATTTTTTTACTCACATTCATCATGTTGATAATAACAATGTTGATATTTGTGTAAAAAAAAAAAAAATTCATTCATCATATCCTGTACCGGTCTTAGATGTCCACATGACATTAAAAAAGCTACCTAGTCCGGCGTCCAAATGTTGAACTGTATATTGACGTACAAGTGGGGTCATGGTTAGACGTCCAAATAGTGGACCTAGTTTGCATGTCGTATAGACGTCCATAAATGGTCTTGGACTGACGGACGCAATATGGACATGATCTGCATGTCCATCAGACGTCTAATGTTTAGTGGGATAGTTCTGTTTAGTTCTGTTGATATTCTACTCACATAGTACACCTGTAAAACAACTCATGTACCACTCCCTCCCTTCTGCCCCTCCCTACCAACTGTTTTGTCCACCAGTCTCAATCCAGTTAACCTGAAAAGTCCGTTTTCATGCTTTTTGTACATAGGTGTTGACCAGTTATTTTACAAGCACATATCACATGTAATTTATCTGTATTTCTGAAATGTTTCCTCAGACCAAAATCATTAGTTTGTGGAGTGGTGAAACAGAAGTGCCAGTGTATATAAAGGACTGTGAGTTAAGTATCTAAGTAGTACAGAATGCATCTACTAAAGAGTGGCTCTCAGTACAACCACAATGTACAGTACAACAATGACACTGAACTTTCTTGACTTCAATCTGTGGTGTCACAACAGCAGCTAATTTTCATTGTATTCAACTCTGGCGAACTCTAATCAGCATCAAAACTACAAAGCTTCATATTTGCCCAAATGACAGAAGCAGATGAAATCAAATCAAATGGAATCATTTGAACTGGATGGGTTTCCCTCTGCCATCACCTTTCTATGTGAAGTGCCTCGAGACAGCTTGTGGTGTGAATTGATGCTATGTACATGAAACGAAATTGACTGAATTCAACTAAACTGACCCTGCTGGTTTCCCCTTATGATGCAGACTCATGCCTTACATTTAGGGATCCTGGCGCCTTTCAGAATCATTTAATGTTGACAAGACATTAGAGAATTTATAATTACTTTACGCTGGCCCACCAAGAATCCAGTTTTAACTGCAAAATTAAGAAAAACGTTCAGAACCTGACGTACAGCATATGCAGTGTATTAAGTTTGTTGCACATTTGATACATGTTTGATGGAGAAATAACCTAAAGCAAGCCTGCACACTAAAGAACAGAGCAAGTGGATTGCATACATTTGAGATTTTTTGTCATTTTAATAGTACAAACGTATATTTAAGGAGTATTTATACCCTCGAAGATAGTTTTGTCCATTGCAGTTTATTGCATTTTTTTATCTGCAACACATATTTGTACTGAGTGTGTGTTAATGTGTAATTCAATGGGTATCCAGGAAAGATTTGTATTTCTTTCCTTTTGGTCTTTTAATTTCCACTGTCTTTGTGTATGTAATGTAGTGCCTGCAGGTTTGTTGATAATACTGGCCAACCTTAGCTGGTTGACATGTTTCAGAAGTGAATGTTCTTTTCCAAATATCCAAGGGACACCACTACATGGCATTATTCTAAACAATGCTTGACCTGCTGTTGAGCCTTACCTTCTTGAACTTTAACTACTATTACAATAGGATTTTGAAAATGCCAGAGGTCAGTGCTCAGTAAACATACTGCACTCTGAAATGTCAGCATGGAGCAACAGATCCCAAAATCTACTGGGGATGCATGACTAATTCTGGGGTCTGTGGTCTCATCCCTTAATGCCTATGCTGGATCGTATGACAATCTCACATGCTGTAAACTTTGTTAAATGTAATACAGCGCAGACTTCAGAAATATGTAGTGCTTAACAAATGTATTAGACCACCTGTCAGTTTTTTTTTAAGTTTGTTAAGCACTGTATAATACATACACTATCCGGTATCATGAAGTGTTTAATTCACACTCAGCTCTTGATGTTTTGTGAACCGGATTGAGGAATTTTAAAATGAATTCATCTTTTTTATATCCAAATTTGAGCCGGCTTAGTCAAGAAAGCTATTAAATGACTGACATCTTAATAAATTAATAATAATGTCCTTTACTTTCTTTCTTTTTTTTTGTGAAACAGTAAATTTGAAAATTCATGGATAACAATAATAACTACATTCTAGCATTATAAATATAATTTTAGTTAAAGAGCTTCTACATACTGGTGTATTAACCACTACAGAAAATATATTTTTGCAGTTACTAGTGCTGTTAATATATGGCAACTGTGGCATAAACCTTACATTGGGTGGTGGTCTAGTAAATTTGCAAAGCACTGTCTATGACTCAATCTGTGCAAATATGACATTACTATTGACTTAAAGTAGCCAAAAATAAAAACAGCTTATGTAGTTAGTTTTGCAGCATTATGTATTGAAACAGCAGGACTAAACAACACCAAATGCATTGATAAGGACAAAACAGCAGTTCCCTAAAATGCAAATGCACTGCATGTGAACATGTAAGCACATTCTTGCGCTGTGGATCCCTACCTGCAGAGTTGAAAGGAGGACCTCTAAGCCACTGGAGGAGCTTGGAGAGGCTATCATTCTTGGTCGACTTCGTTCTGTGCCGGTCAGTCAAACAGATGGGCAAATAAACGGGCAGACAGAAAGGTGAAAAAGCCGTTAAATAGGCAGACAGACAAAAAAAAATAAATCACACAAAAAATGAGAGGAGAACGGAAGGACTTGGGTGAACGGAGATCTTCAATTGGGGCCGACAGAGTGAATCTGAAGCTCGTCCTCACCGGTGTGCAAACAGCGCCTCACACACACATATACGTGTAAAGCATCTGTCTCCGGTTTTCTCTCTCACACTTACACAGACATGCACATCTAGTGTTGCTGCTGTGTCTAAAGACAGAGAGGATCAACACAGAGAGTTTCTGTGACTTAACTTGACTAGGATTACCCACCAGGGCCAAGGAGGGGGCATGTGTGTGGGTGTATGTGTGCCACTGCTGCACGACTGTGTGTCAGTATAAACAGTGTGTTTGTCTTCTTCATGAGAGTTTGCATAGTCTCTGAAAGATAAAAGAAAAGCCCTACTGCGAAATAAAAGCAAAATATCTTTGCACAGTTTAGTTCATTGTTCACTAATGAACATGGTTAAATGAGTGTATTGTTGTGTCGAAGTGCACACGCACGTCTGTGCATGTGTAACCCTACCCCTCCAGGATAAAGCGCTCCAGAAAACATTTGTGCTGTGGTGTTGAGAAGACAGCCACTATAAAAAGGCCTTGACAAAACCAGCTGGGCAGCTGCAATACACAAACTATATTGAGTGGCAGACTTCAACAAATCGGAGGTGTAGAGTTGACCACCAACTAAACCACCAGACGACAACAGCCAAAAAGACAACTATTTATTGATACAGCTTGATGGTGTGAGATTGTGTGGGGGGGCTTATGCTGGTCGGATTTATCAGGAGTCCAGAGAAAACTATAAGTCTGACATAGTTTTGGCAAAGTTGCACACCAAGTTAAAATTCATTTTGTTGACCTCAAACTACCATAACAGGATGTTATTTCCGCTGGTGGCAAGAACATCCATCCATCATCTATACACCGCTTAATCCTCATTAGGGTCGCGGGGGGGCTGGAGCCTATCCCAGCTGACTTAGGGCGAAGGCAGGGGACACCCTGGACAGGTCGCCAGCGTGGCAAGAACAGTGCTACTTTATTGATATTTATTTTTGGAGCTGCCAATAATCAAAGTTGGGTTTTCAGTGGGTATATCACTGCTGACAATCGATTTGAAGATCAAACTGGTGGTGGTTGATGAACCACAGAGTTCTGCTAAGGGCTGTCACCCAGTAACTTTCTCACTGCTTTGAAGGAACTTTGTAAAACAATTGCTTGAGTAGAGTAAGTATGGGTTCCAATCCATAAGTCGCTGACTGTATTGGAAGATATATTGTTTTGAGGAGTTAAGATAACATGTGCAGCAGCAAACTACAGCAAAGTGGCAACCAAAAAACAACACAATATGTCTGACTGCAACATTAGACATCAGACCCAAAGGATGAGGAGTAAACAGTCACGAACAATCCATCCCTCACAGCGGGGGAGTGAGCGTGACCTTATAAGAAGAGTCAACTTGCTGTGAAGTTCATGTGGTTTTGAAAGCTGACTTTAAACTCACTGGCTGAAATCTAGGATTAACTGTGGGTATTCTCAACCAGTGTGTCATTCAGCCTGTCCTCGTCTGTCTCTATTACTCTGTCTCTTTTTCATACACGCAAACACACTTGGAGGTAATCACAACATGGCATCAAACGCACATACTTTCAGACTTTGATGTACTCAAATATGCCTTACCATTCCCATAAAGAAAAGAATGCTAATCCGCAGGTGAAATTATAGGCAACTGCTGTCCCAGACAGGAATCCCCTGGCTCGACACACACACATATAACGCACACCCCCACACACACACACATTTCCATTTCCTCAGTAATGAGGGAAGACCCTGTGTGTTGCTTCAGCTGTCTGGTTTCACTGATGCCTGCAGACAACAGGCAGTGACAGTGACATGCATCTCTTGGCTTTTCATCCATAACTCATTACTGTGTGAGCAGCACAGCACACATACTAACTGCTCAACGTTCGCTGCAGTTATTTCATAACCAAGCAATGCTGCATATTTGTGTTACTCTGTTAGCTGTAGTGTTTTCAGTGTAATAAACCTTGTGTTTAAATTACTATAATGTTCACGTCAGCGTTGTAATACTGCATATATGAATAATTACTTACATAAAGAATATGTCAATAAATTTTTAAAAATGTCTTTGTTAAACAACAACACAACCTCCTGTGTATTAATGTCATCATGCACAGTCATCATATAAACATGAAATAATAGATTTCAGTGGAGAAATGTGTGAGTCAGACAACTTTAAGTAACTTTCCAGTATGAACTACAAATCTCTGTTTCCACTTTATTTGAGCATCATATCCTGCACTATACACAAACACACTAAACACATCTTGGTGACCAAACCTCTTCAAACCTTTTTCTTTCTATACCCTTCCTTCTCAGCCCCTCACTCCGCAGCCTCTAAAATGGTCACACTTGTTCTTTTTAGCCCACATTCACACCATGTCTAGATTGTATGCTCTTCAGTGCCCACTGACTAGAGTGCTATGAATCATATGCATAGTACTCTATTTTGGTCATAAACATTTAATTTGATAGTCATTGTAAGATTACTTTTCGGGCATTTTCCAGTTGTTGCCATGGGTTCTGAATGGCAGCTGTGGTGGGGAATTCATCAGTCATCAAACATTTAACATGAACGTGGCGTTGTATTTTTGACTCTGAACATCATCTTACTTTAGGAAGAGCAGTATTTAAGGATGTGAAGAAATACATCTATGAGAAAGTGTGAGAATTTAAATTAGGACTCTTAGCAAACACAAACTCACCTGCATTACCAAAATAATGTGTTTTTAAATGGCTCCTCTCCCCCATACACACACTAACACACACACACAGAGCACAAGATGCTGGAATAAAAGCTTTATCAGTGTGCAGCTGATCCACTCATCCATCCAGGATAGTTGGTTACCTATTCTAACTGTTGGGGGGGGGCGTTGGTTGGAAAGTCCTTGATCCCATGGCAGGTGGGCTGTCCTCAGTCACTCAGTGTAGTGACCAATCTGCTAGGGATGGCAGTGTTCAAGGCAGAGCTAACGTCTGTGAAAAGCATCCTCACATTGTTCCCCTGGTGTTTAAGGTGGGTCAGTGCAGTGTGAAGAGCAGTGGCGATTGCATCTTCTGTAGACCTGTTGGCTCTGTAGGCAAACTACAGGTGTGGGTTGAAGGTTGGTGGGAGGCTCGCTTCGATGTACTGTAGGATCACCCTCGTAAAGCATTTCATGTCAACTAGTGTCAGGGTTCCTGGACGGTCGTCGTTCAGCTCGCTGATGACAGAATTTTTGGGGCAGTGAGATAGTTGTTGAAGACTTTGGGCATGATGGGATGCTGGATTTGGACAGGGAAAGGTTGAAGATTTTAGTGAAGACCATAGAAAGCTGCACAGAGAGGTTGTGGCTCTCTGAGGCCAGTGAAGGTGTTGTGCCTGTGCCTGCTGTTTTCACCTCAAAGCAGTTTAGTTCCACTGCCAGGTAGGTGCCACCATTAGAAGTCGTGCAGTCTTGTAGATGGTGATGTGCTGGATGCCCTGCCACAACCGCTTTGGGTCTTTATTCTTGAAATGTCCTTAATTTTCCTCCTGTAGGGTGCTTTACCATTCATGACCCCTCTCTTCAGGTTGGTTCTAGTGGCCCTGTATAGTGCCCTGGTGCCAGACCTGAAGGTGGTGTTACATTCCTTGAGAAGAGATGTGACTTCCTTTGTCATCCAGGGCTCCTGATTTGGGTACACCTGGATGTGTTTGTTGACAGTGACACTGGCAGCACAGTTCTCTATGTAGTCGAGTACAGCTGATGTGTATTCCTCAGAGTCCTGATTCTCAAAGATGTTCTAGTTAGCCCTTTCAAAGCAGTCCTGCAGCTGCGATCATTCAGGCCATGTTTTTAAAGTTCTTATGGTGAGTTGAGCTTTTCTTCTGAGGAGGTGTATGCTAAGCTGCATTTGGATATGTGCTCTGCTGAGAGGTTATGGCACTGTGCAAGTAATCTATGCTAGCATTAGCATCCCATAGAATGTAAACAGTAAACTGAAGTGGAAGGTAAATGGGCCTACATTTAACTGTGAGGTACTCCAAATCCAAGAACAGTGACTGTCTATGATGTTGCATTTGTGCACTAGTCGTTGTGGAAACAAATACATAATCCTCCTCCTTTCCTTTTACCAGGTTCAGGTTTCTGTCCCAGTGAAATGTTGTGTGTCAGGTTATCTCCATGGCAACACTGGAAATAAGCTGCTGAAGCCAGGTTTCTAATGTCTCAGTGACATTCAATTAGACTGGGAGCAGCTGCCTCTATAGGGACTATAGGCACGATTGGTGAGCCAGTATTTAGTATTTCTATTTAGCATTTTCAGGATTTTGCTGCTTGACACTTGGGCAGGCACTCTGACTCGATTCTCTTTGTTCCAATAGTAAACACTGTTGAAACAAAAAAACAAAAAAAACACTGTAACAATAAAATAGACAGAGATACCGATGGAGGTTTAGGACTGAGGTGATGTTTGTTATGCCAGTTATGATATTACACTCTTTAATATCCATGGATGAAGGAAAAAGCAGCAACCCCTGGCACAAACTCCACCTACAGCCTGACTAAATACAAGCTGACTTGACCACTCATATAGCAGAATTAGGAAACTATGCATGGAAAAGGGCAAAAATAAAGTGGTTCTTATTCATATGTGTCTTTAGATATTAAACAGTCGGCTTTTTCTTTTTTTGTACAGTTGCAATGCTGCCCTCCTGTGGAAAGTGGTCTCTTGAGTAAAAAGTCCACCTCGACTTTCACCTTGATACAACTATAGAGAACTTATTCAGTTTATAATACTTATTCAATTAACTTCTGATATACAGCAGTGTGAAAATGAAAACACTGCCATGAAGTGTATATAAAAGGTATATATGGCAATATATAATAATGTGAAATAAATTATATTGTATATTTATGTTAAAGGGGACAAGCAC